TTCATCAAATAACAGATCTTAATGGCTGAGAAATGTTTGCGCCCAAGGTAAAATGCTCCAATAGCACCAAGCTATTAAAAACTATTTAATGGTCACCATGGTTGATGAAAACATTTTGATCTTAATGTTTTTGATTTAACATTGTATTTACTCTTCTGGATATTATATTTTGAAGCTGTTTTTAAGCTAAGCCAGTTAATAAGCTAATTTAAGTTAATAAACCACTCAGTTCTGCATTACAAGTGATTTCAAGTTTAACGCTATGTCCTGTGAGTGCCTAACATCACCCTTTAACCACAGTAAAAACACAAACTGTTTGTTTCACCTGCTAAATACTGAAGACTGTGGCTGTGTATTTATGGTAAGCTTTTAGGTTATTTCGCCATAAAGCAAAACGTGAAGCGTACTTGAATGAATCAATCTATTTTTAGAGTTGGGTACAAATACTGTGCAGCATGTCCACAGGGATGAGTGGGCATTTGACCCACCACTTTTTAATTGTGTTTAGTACTGTTACATCAAAAAGAACATCCACTCTTCCTAAACAGCATGGATTACTGACCTATAGGCACAAACAGACATACAGTCACCTACTCAAAATCGTCGGCTGCTACTTACACTCATACAAAACCAGCTCCTATCTCTTTGAATGGATAGACCTATAAACTTGAAACTGAAAGCTTCGTTGATGTTCAAAAAACATATGTAATATCACTGGTAAAAAAATCTGGCAAAAATCACATCAATAGTTTGTAGTCTTTAGCTCAACACACAAAAAACTTTGCTACTGCACATGCTTATATCTCCACAAAGCGTGAGTGTGTGTGTGTGTGCATCTTGCTTAGTTAGTTTTAGTTCATCAGTGAAACGGCTGTCTTTTGTCAGAGGAAGTTGTCATTTGGTCCACTGCACTTACAGTAGCACCTATTTTTTGACCCACCACATTTGGAAGTGTCAGTCTGTGCAGTGACTTCCTTCCTGATTTTCTAGCATAAGATTTACTTCATCATCACACAATCACTTTTAGAGCTGTTATTCACCCATCTATCAGAGCAGAATGGAAATGCAGGAGGACATATATGTAAATTCAGGACATATTACAGACAATAGATCCGATTCAGATGACAGTGATCATTCATATGTGGACGTTGGTCTGAATGAAGACGACACGGAGGCATACAGAAACAGAAGATCCCAAGACAATTCAGAGAAGATGTACATTCACAATGACCCTGTTTATCAAAACAAAATGAAGAAGAGCTCTGGCTCGCATACAGAAGATTCTCAGTACATAGGTAAGCGTTTCTTTAGGTCTTTGAAGAGGTTTCTCTTTTATTATGTATTGCAATACCTAAATAATGAGTTGCATACACTTGCAACTATCAGAATTAAAGTGTTTTTCAAAATAAAAACTCTGCGTTTAAAAAAGTTCATGAGACATGTGAAGTGCTTTCCTTTTCACTACCTCCGACCGGAGCTTGTAAATAATTTTAGTCCTTGCACAAAAGACAGCGTAGCAGATCTTTTCTTCCTCAAAACAGTGAAAACAAAAAAGGTGCCATTTCAAGCATACATGTAAACTAAATAGCCAAAACAATGTCGGCCCCCTCTTTGTAGCTATAACTATTCTGGGAAGGCACAAATACTAAAATGGAAAAAGAGAACAATGCCAAACAAATTGTTAGGAGGACAGCAGGTTTGATAGGGTTCAGTATAAGTACGAAATACATATACATTTAATTGTGGCATGGGCCTGAGGAGAGATTGAGCCACGCTGGCTGGGAAGCTAAGCAGGTCACAAGAAATACAAAATGCAAGGTGCAAAAGAGAGCTTTCATTTAAACATAAGAAAATATAACCAAAACCAAACTGAAAAAATCTAGTCAACTAGGACATGTTTTACAAAGTCCAGTTTTGCTCTCCAGCCAGGGTTCTCTCTCTAAAGGCGTCCCTCCCACTGGGATGGAGAGCCTCAGTTTTTAAAGTGTTCTGTAATCAGAATAGATTCTTTGCACATGTGGCTCAAGGTGGCAGTTCCACCTCCCCTTACAGCACAACCACCAAGGTCAAAGAAGAGGCAATGTTCAGTGACCGGACCACAAAGTGATGGGCAAGGCTTTGGAAGCAGCACTGCTGTGTACGCCGTGCTGGTACAGAGCCAGCCCAATGGTGCTCTGTCCTCTTCCTCCCTTCTGACTTATCCTCTGTGGTGCAGTCAAGGAGAGGAAAGGAGCAGAAGGGATTCAGAGAAGAAGCAGAAATTGGGGAAATGAAACAGCTGATTCCTTTTGGTGTCATTAAATTTGATGTGGATTATTGTTGAACTGAGCCACACAATGCTGAAACCACACTCGTATTACTCTTGTATACAACTGCAGCTGCTACACAGCCAATTTACATTTGTGTGGTTTCCTATTCCTTTTTTACGGTAATTTTCACCAAATACAAAATACACAACACAGGGAATATATAAACACAGACATAGACTGTGTTTGTCTATCCTCTTTTGGTGTGCATGCAGTTAATGTCACTTTTCAATCTGAGAAAGACTTCCCGGGTACCTTACATGTATGTATCCTCTGTCAGAAGTTGCATCGGCAAATGCTTGGAGTGTCTTAGGAAAAAGTATTTTCAGGGTTTCTGGTTTTTGGTTGCAGCCCTCAATTCCTCTGAGTGCACTTAAGGAGCTGATACATTATTAAAAACAGCAGACTTTGATCAACTTGGGTCGTTTTTTGACCAAACTGGGTCTTTTTGGTTGACATTGGATCAAGGAAGCAACAGTTAGGGCACAGCTTCCCAACTTCCCTGGAGTACCTACTGCCCTGCAAACGTATGTTTTCCTGCACCAAAACACCCACTTTAACTCAGGAAAGGCTTGCTAATTAAATGCTTAGTTGGATTTTCTGTTTGCTGTTCTATCAATCAAACATTCTACCCTCTTTAATTAAACACTCCCACAAGCCCAACTTTTAAACTTCATTTACCACACACACACAAACACACACACACACACACACATTTTCTAAGCCTCTTATCCTTCCGGGTCGCAGGGGGAGCTGGAGTCTATCCCAGCAGTCATTGGGCGGATGGCAGGATACACCCTGGACAGGTCGCCAGCCCATCGCAGGGCAGACACACAGATACATTAAGTGTTTATACTGGCTGAACTGCAGTTTAGCCAGTATAACAGTTTCTCAGTTGCATTAGGTACATGTGTAAAAAACCTTGGTGTCACAATCAATCCTGATCTGCCCTTCGATTCACACATAAGCAATATTTCTAGAATAGCTTTCTTTCATCTTGCAATACTGCACAATTCAGAAATGCATTGTCTTTACAGGATGCAGAAAAGCTAGTTCATGCATTTATTACCTCAAGGCTGGATTACTGTAATGCCCTGCTGTCTGGATGTTCCAGCAAAAGCTTCAACAAGCTTCAGTTAGTCCAGAACGCTGCAGCCAGAACCACAAGAACCAGAAAGTTTGACCATATCAGCTCAGTTTAATCAAACCTACACTGGCTGCCAGTTAAAATCCACACTGAGTTCCAAATTCTTTTACTGTCACATAAAGCTCTAAACGGCCCCTCAGTATCTAAGTGAACGTCTCTCTTATTATGAACCATCACACCTACTTAGATCACAAGGTGCTGGCTTACTATTAGTACCTAGAATTATGAACTGACCTTTCTGATGATGCATTCTTTAATCATAGACATTGCTTTCCTGCTTTTCCCTTTTCCATACTTAAACTGATGCTCATTCTCTGCTGCTATTGTTTGCTATCCGGTGTTGACCAGAGAAGGATGGGTTCCCCTCTTGAGTCTTGGTTCCTCTCAAGGTTTCTTCCTCGTGCTCTTAGGGAGTTTTTCCTTGCCATTGATACTATTGGTTTGCTCATGGGGGCTCGACCCGGATTTCTTTTTTCTCTAAAGCTGCTTTGTGACCACGCCTGTTGTAAAAAGTGCTATAACTTTAACTTTGACTTTGACCCCACCAACTGAAACAGTGCTAGGGAACTCTGGGAAATGTTGTAATAATGCTTTCTGAAACAAAAACGGTTCAATATTTCTAAAACTACACGTCAAAATATCGCAATTTCTGTTCTGAATATTACAGAGCCCCGGAGGGGACGGAGGTAAAAAAGAATTCATTTGACTTAACGTTTTGCAGTTCGTACACACATATCTTTTATTCGTGGTCAAGGTTTCTTAAATCGTTCCCTCGTTTTCTTTTAATCGTGCTCACGTTTTCTTTACTTTGTGGGTACATTTTTTTTTATTTGTGATCACGATTTTCTAATTCATTCTCGTTTTCTTTTAATCGTGGTCATGTTTTATTTTTAACTGGACACACACGTTGTTTTTTTTTATTCGTGCACAAACAAAATAAATGTAGTAGATGGGTTTTGATGCGTTAGATTGATGATGTAATGAACATAGATGCTCATTAGGTTTGATTTTGACTTGGGGGGTTATGAGGAAACTGCAGCTCCTTTTCACAGCAAACAGCCCACAGTGTTTCTGCTCCCATGTCAAGCTGCAGTGTTAGAGACCATCACACAATTACAGGAAGAAATGATCAGCGTTTCAACATCCTCACATTAAAATATCTACATCTAATCCATAGATCTTTTAAACTCTGTCATTTGACACATGAATGTTTCTTTGTGTGTTTATTTAGAGTATGTTGGAACGTTGACGCTGATCATTTCTTCCTGTAATTGTGTGATGATCTTTAACACTGCAGCTTGTTGCAGGACCAGAAATGGCGCCAATACATAATATAATATGCTTCTATATCTGTGCAGTTTAGTGCAGTTTAGTGAAGATTGTGGTTGTAGTTTATTGTCTTCGTGGGCCGCATATTTCTAGATTTCTAGTTGTGGGCCACATACATCATACTGCACGTGGCCCGAGTTCAGTTGTCCAGCACTCAGGCACACCTCTTACTACAGGTATCAGCCCATACTCAGCCCTGATGACATCACCAGAGCCCGATGTCCCGCGACCCAAGCCGTATGTGACCCCATAGTACACTGCTAGCTGGGAAATCATCTCGCCTCATCTAAGCCGCTTATCCTCCTGGGTCACAGGAGGTGCTGGAGCCTATGTGAACGCTCATTGGGCAGAAGGCAGGAAACACCCTGGACAGGTCGCCAGTCCAACACAGGGCAGACACACAGACTTAGACGTTCACACACACTCACACCTAGGGCCAATTTAGTATCTCCAATTGGCCTGACCATGTCTTTGGACTGTGGGAGGAAACCAGAGTAAACCCATGCAAAAAATCATTTCTGAATTTCTGTCTAAAATGTTGGGACACCTAAAACGAAGCTGAAATCTGGTCATTCTATCTTAAGTTTATATATCTAGTTTCAGAAACAAACACTGCAGGGATCAGATGCTACAGAGTGACTGCAGTGTCTCTGGGGCTGTTGTGTGTTCTCCTGCTGACTGCCGTCACACTGCTGTACATCAAGTTCAACATAGAGAGAGACCAGCTACAGACCACATTTCTGGAAGTGACAAAAGAAAAGAACCAATTAGAGACCAATTACACCACTGTGATCCAACAGCTCCAGATTGAGGCAGTTTGTCTTCAGAACTTCTCTAATTGGGGTGAGCAAATAATCCCTACTTTGGTCTCTACTTGAGCCACTTGGTCAAATGGGTAACACTTTACATGGAGGCTTGCACATTAAAGATTAATTATGTTCTTAATAAGTTTTTAACTATGTATCATTCCTATATTATTTAAGTGATCATTAAGCATTAGTTATAACTTAGTCACTGATTACGTTCTTTGAAATCAGTAATTGATAACACTGTTAACAGATAGTAATCACTACAACTCCAGGACTTGAAACTGGATCCAACCTGCTCTGAAAGACCTAGATACATCACGACTGTGAGTCCGAGCAGTAGTGTGGTCTAGGTTTGAGTCAGTTGTTAGAAAACTCTATAGCAGAGCTACATACAAGGTAAAATATATGTAAAAATGTTTCCATCTCGGAAACCGCATTTACCTCACTTTTGTAAAATATGTGAATTTGACGTAAGATGTAAACATTGTTTAAGTTTCAAAACATCCCTATATGTAGAAAGTAAGCTGTAAAAACAGCCTATTTTGAATTCACTCTTTCTATGAAAAACACATTTACATATTTCTGCCTGTTCTGGCTACAGCAGTTTAGCCCCGTCCATTCACACCAAAGTTATGAATTTTTCAGCCCAGCCTTTTTCTTTTAATGAGGCACAATACAAGGCAGCCAGTCAGAACAGAGCTCATTTACGTATGTCAGTCTTTAATTATCATGTAAAAATAAACTGGTCAGGTAAAAATAAATTATGAAATTTTGAATTATGATTGTTTTATTTTGTTTTAAAAAAGCCACACTAACATTACAAACGGACCTAACAGAAAAAGAAAATATTCAAGAAAATGCAGGATATGGACCTTTTAATGTCTGTTGCAAACTGAGTGTGTGTATGTGTTTGCAATCCACAGTGAAGGCCATACAGCAGGACTGGATTTTTTTCCAAACTAGTGTTTACTACATCGCTACTGAGATGAAGAGCTGGAGCAAGAGCAGAGAGAACTGCACACACAAAGGAGCAGACCTGCTGATCATAAACAGCAAAGATGAACAGGTGAGAGAGAGAGAGAGAGAGTTAATAAGGTGGGGAGCGGGATGAAGATTTTCAGCCTTATCTGTTCAAATTGTTCTATTAAAATTTCAGGATTTCATTATTAAACAGCTGGGCAGCGGTGCAGCTTGGATGGGTCTGACGGACACTGACGAAGAGGGAGTCTGGAAATGGGTGGACAGATCAGCACTGACCACTCCGTAAGAAACTGAGATTAAGAAAAAACTGCATAGGCTAGCATAGCACCAGCAAAACCCATGATGTGTTTTGTTTGCTGGTATGCTGGACAACAGCAATGGAAGCTAATTTGATGATCACCAGCAAAACCAGAATGCGTTACGGTTTGGATTCTGGTATGCTGGTCATCCAGCATAGTCATGCGTCAGACCTGAATAAACCAGCACCAGACCAGCTTAGACCAGCATAGAATGTACATGGAAACTGGCGACATTCTGCATGTACATTCTTTTTTTTACTAAACAATAAAGCCACGCAACCAACAAAGCACATAAAATAGCAAAGAGGAAGACTTTGGAGCCACTCAGTGCTGACGAAGAGGGCAACATGGAATAACTGTTCTCCAAAGTGAATTTGAGATGAAATACTGTGAATTTAAGAGATGAAATACTATGCTATCTTTAAAGCGTTACTGCTCCTCAGCAGTGTGAGCTAGAAAAATGTGTTTTTTTTGGTGACACTTTATACTGAGTGGTCCTCTTTAGATGAAATAAACACTCAACTGACTCTCAGTTACACGTCAACAACATATCAATGATGTAGCAGCAGTGAATACATTCAGTAGATTACCAAGAGACTTTTAATTAACTGTGTAAATAAAATTTGTTTATAATCTGTTGAATTCAGATTTGGATTTTCACTTTATTTGGTGTCCAAATTCATATCTGTAGGTGTTTAACCCGAGAGGAACTGAACATGTAACAGGTCTAATACAGACCATCAACATCCTCAACAAGCTGTTATGGACATGTTGCTCACACTATTCTGTAATTGGAGTTTAACTGGATTGAGGTTAAGGTTAGGGTTAGGGCCTGGGTAACGGTTAGGATTAGGTTGTGGATTGAGGTTAAAGTTAGGGTTAGGATTAGGGCCGGAGTGAGGGTTAGGATTAGGTTTTGGGTTGAGGTTAAAGGTTAGGATTAGGAGTAGGGCCAGGGTGAGGGTTAGGATTAGGTTTTGAGATGATGTTAAGGTTAGATTTAGGATTAGGGTCAGGGCGACGGTTAGGATTAGGTTGTGGGTTGAGGTTAAATTTAGGGTTAGGATTAGGGCTTGGGCGAGGGTTAGGATTAGGTTTTGGGTTGAGGTTATGGTTGGGATTAGGAGTAGGGCCAGGGTGAGGGTTAGGATTAGGTTTTGAGATGAGGTAAAGGTTAGGTTTAGGAGTAGGGCCATCTACAAAGGACCACTCAAAATAAAGTGTTACCTTTTTTCCTTTTAAAACTGAAAAAAAGGACAGAAATATAAGCCCAAGTTTGCCATTGTGGGTTGTTATACATCCAAAATAAACCTGCATAAATTTGTATAAAACATGCATAACCTTTTCTATGTATTTGGTATTATGCTTCTTGTTTACAGATCAGTTTAAATCCACTGTCTTTACTTGTGGCATATCATGTGGTGTGTAGTCTACATGCTGATGTGATTAGCTTTGGTTAGTGAGCCACAGCCAATCAGAGTATGTGATTTGGATATTTGAAAATAGGTGCTCAGATTGGCTTCGGTTAGGATTGAAGAGGATGTTTTCTACAGACAGGCCTCTAGAATTGCTGTTCCAGCTTGGAATAATGCAGAGTGTGACAATGCTTCAGATCCCAAATCATGCTATTTAGAAGACGCAAGTGATTTTCTTTCTTGTGTGGGGTTTTCAAATGGCTCTTTCATTTTAACTTTCATTTATAAGCAGTGTTCCGTTAAACCACAGAGGAACACTGTCCAGAGAAAAGGCATAACCTGAAAACAAAAAGAAGTAAAAATTCAAATGAAAACTCAAATTGTATTTTACATCAAAGGCTTTCTGCAGGTTTTTGTGTTAAAAATTCATTTTGATATTGTGATTTAGTTTTTTTCAACAAAGACTGCAAAACAGTTAAAGTTTTTATGCTACTATGGTTTTATGGGCTTATTCTTGAATGGAGTGTGTAGAAATATAAATGACATTTTTTATTAGCTGAGGTTGCGCTGAATCTGGGGATATATAACACATTCTGTGGTTCTCTCCAAAACAACAAAATGAAAGTGCAAAACACAAACGTATGCAAAGTTGAAAGTGTGTCAGTGTAGGTCTTAAAGGGTTAAGGGAAACAGGCACTGTTCTGTTAGCGCTACCATTTCAAGGCAGATCACTCTACCTGTGAGCTGAGTGCTGAGCTTTGCTAACATATGTAAGCTAACGTATAACTTTTTAGTTTTTAATTTAATTGAACTTAATTTTGGACCAAAATTTCGAACCCTGCCATAACTTTATTATAGGCTGTCTTTAGTCACAAAGGCATAAAATCAGCTGCTGTGAAGCGTGTCCATTAAACGTTCTCTGATTTTAACGCACGAAAGAACTCTTTCATAATGTACAGTTTTTGTCTGCCACAGCATATTTACAGTGTAAACCTGCCTGAAATGGCAATTCCGCCAATTCTACTTTATCAAATTGTTAAAATGTAAACAAAGTCACTCAGAGTGATTTGATGTAAAACGATGTTCAAGAGAAAGTGAGAGTCAGAAATGTTCACTGTAGTGGTGATAGGAACCAGACGTCCACCTCTATAAGTTAGCTGACAGAAAGCCATTACATGAAGTGGTTATGGATATGCTGCCTAATGTCTAAGATATAGTCATATTTTGTCCTAAAAGTTTTTTTTAATGTTTTTTTTTTTATTTTTGCCCTCAAACACATAGCAGAGGGGTGCAAAATAGTCCCCAAAGAATTTTATTTCAGATTTACCACTATTTTACCATCAACAAAACATATTGTAGCGTTTACCACTAGAAAAGAAGACATACAGCTTATGTACTAGTTGTTTTGTTTTGTTAAAGGCTGTAGTCAGCCACAGCCAGACCATACAATATGCAAGGCTAAGGCTAACAGTTCACGCTAGCATTAGCTCACGTTTGCACTCTGTTGTTTCTGAACTGCCGCTGACCAGTTCTTTGTGTTATAACGCATGAACACAGCAAATGAAGGCTAGTCAACTTAGAGAATAACTGCTGGACAACAATAACCTGGAATTAACATGCAGAACCTCTCTCGAACATGCCCCATTCATGACACTGTCAAGCAACAAATACTTAAACGTGCTCAAAACGCCAGCCAGCAGAAACAGAATCACTTTTCTTGTGTGATTGAAATTGAAGTGAAAGGCATGCTAGCATAATAATTATGATTTTTGCTCTATGAATCTCACTAAACTCAGGACTAAGAGTGTTGAGGTAAAGGTCTGAAACTGAAGACTACATGAACAACGATCTCTGATCTGTCTGATTCTCTGTTTCAGGAACTGGGAGAAAGGTGAACCAAATGATGTGGGAAACGAAGATTGTGCTGAAATTAGGGGTTTTCGACAATTGAGGGGCTGGAATGACAGGAAATGCTCTCACGAAATACAGTGGATCTGTGAGAAAAGAGTCTTTTAAATCATTTTAGTAATTAATAACATGCTAGCATGTGATGCAGCATTACACACCACAAAATGCCCCATTGTTTCTGCTTGATATAAACAAATAGCTGTTCCAGGCATGGTAGATCTATCCCATAATGCAGCATGGTTTGATGATTACTAAGCCAAAGTCATGTGACCCTCTACTTGTACCTCATGTAACATATCAACAACACATCTTTGTTATGTAAGTAATGTACCAACAGTACATCTACAAGACAATTACTTCAATGTATTCAGATGCTTTACTACTACTTCTACTACACTGATATGTAGTTTATGTGCTACAGATACTCTGTTAAGGGTTTATTATTCATCTACAAAGGACCACTCAAAATAAAGTGTTACCTTTTTTCCTTTTAAAACTGAAAAAAAGGACAGAAATATAAGCCCAAGTTTGCCATTGTGGGTTGTTATACATCCAAAATAAACCTGCATAAATTTGTATAAAACATGCATAACCTTTTCTATGTATTTGGTATTATGCTTCTTGTTTACAGATCAGTTTAAATCCACTGTCTTTATTTGTGGCATATCATGTGGTGTGTAGTCTACATGCTGCATGTGATTAGCTTTGGTTAGTGAGCCACAGCCAATCAGAGTATGTGATTTGGAGATTTGAAAATAGGTGCTCAGATTGGCTTCGGTTAGGATCGAAGAGGATGTTTTCTACAGACAGGCCTCTAGAATTGCTGTTCCAGCTCGGAATAATGCAGAGTGTGACAATGCTTCAGATCCCAAATCATGCTATTTAGAAGACGCAAGTGATTTTCTTTCTTGTGTGGGGTTTTCAAATGGCTCTTTTGTAACTGACAGAAACTGCCAAGAGAACTTTCATTTATAAGCAGTGTTCCGTTAAATCACAGAGGAACACTGTCCAGAGAAAAGGCATAACCTGAAAACAAAAAGAAGTAAAAATTCAAATGAAAACTCAAATTGTATTTTACATCAAAGGCTTTTCTGCAGGTTTTTGTGTTGAAATTTCATTCTGATATTGTGATTTAGTTTTTTTTCAATAAAGACTGCAAAACAGTTAAAGTTTTTATGCTACTATGGTTTTATGGGCTTTTTCTTGAATGGAGTGTGTAGAAATATAAATGACATTTTTTATTAGCTGATTACTAAGCCAAAGTCATGTGACCCTCTACCCTACCTAACAGCAAATCAAAAATTCTCGGTCAGGCATCCCCCAGTGACTATTTTTACGCAGATCTGATCTGAAAACAAATGCTCAATTAGACATAAAGTGCTGTGCTGTAATGTAGACCAGTGGTTCCCAAACGTTTTACAGTCCTAACAAACACATAACCGTAGTGCTAATGGTTTAGCACTAATCACAGCATGCTATAATACTATAACCATGAATTGAACCACATCTGCAAAAGTAAAACCAACCTGAATACACACCAACAAGGATCATACAGGCCTAACGACGATTAGTAAATAATACTCTCTTCATTCACACACACAACAGTACATAATAAACTGAATTAACCTTTATTAATGACTATTGTTAATTTCTCTTGAACATGGGCTTCACCCCTCACTCAATGAGAAGACAAAAACATTTTTATACTAAATACAACTTATTGCATGTTTAATTTCCCTTTTATTTGTGTTTTAGTAATAAAATTATAGAAAAACTCGATTTGAAGCCTACGCACTATGCCACCCCCCCTCAACGTAAACCTCCATTTTAATATCTCCATTTTAATATTATATAAGAAATTTCCCAGGTTTGTGGCTGCTTTGCTGTTTTTACGATAAACATTCATTTTATAATGCATGTTGTATATTTTAAATTATATTTTCTCTATTTGTATGTCTCAGTATGTTGCTATATAAAGACAAAAATGAAAAATCAGTACAAAAAAAGTAAAATGTTAGTATGATTCTAAAATTAAGTGTTTTAATAAACATTCAGCAATGCTTGAACTGTCTGTGCATGGTTAAAAGATTCACAGGAGCATGCTCCTTCGAAATGCCTCTATTCCACAGTCCCATGCTGATACGCTGTTCAAGCAGAAGTCAATAATGTGAGTGTTGTAGAAATGAGTGAACTGGGTTCTACATATGCAGATCGTGTGGGTGAACACTACCATTCAAATATTTAATCACCACAATGTCAAATGTACTTTGAAGGCACATTTCTGTTCATCAAGGTACAAACAATGTAACTGTACCCCTTAAAGGTTCAACAATGGCCTTAAGGGCTGAATGTGAACCTTAGTTTAACCCAAGCAAAAGGTACATATTTTTACCTTTTCATGATCTGTGGTGGTACCCTAAAGGGTACATGTTCATTAACGATCTTTAGGTAGGGAACATAATTGTGCCATATTTCAATTGCAGTTGAATTTTTTTAAGTTACATTGATTCCATATTATTCATCTTTACTCCAGGCTTTTCACTTTTCTGTTTTGAAATATGTAAACAAACGGACGAAACTGACAGTAAGTCACATTCAAATTTACCATCTATTTAGAGTACTACTTAGATTCTCAGAAATAAAGATATGAAACTGCTGCTGGGGTGGTAACCTCAAGGGTACATCTCAGTACCTTCAGTCAGGGAACATAACTGTACCATAATCCATTCAGATTATATTTTCTAAGTTGTACTGACTCCACACACCCCGTCTCTTCTCCAGGCTTTTTATTTTATTGTTCTGTTTTAAAACACTAGGTTATAAAAATGTACAAATATGTACACTTCCACTAGGAAAAAAAGAATTTAAGGTTCACAATTGGACCTTTGAGGGCACATTTACACTGTTTGTACCTTGATGGACATACCTGCACAGAACCTTTATTTCTAACAGTGTAGGTCATTAAAGTATGACTTCTAAAGACAAGAAGTGCATTATATGGCTAAAGAAAGCTGTGTGTCCTATGGCTGAAACATAAAAAGCTTTAATTTTAGCATATTTTGCATTTTTTACGGTGCAAATCATTTCATTACTTGCGTAATGCACTACAGGGAGTTTGGAGGTATTTCCGATAAACAAATTAGTACAAAGTTAGCTAGCTCAGCCCTGCTGTAAATTCCAGGGGCAAAAAGCAAGTGACAAACCTTTTAAGGATTTCTGATCATACATGTAATGTGACGAGAGACCATAAGGATGACTATGAACACGTCTCACTGTTAACAGCTTGTTTGTTGCTTTTCAGCCCCCAGAGGGTAACGGAACCTCAAAGCATCTTGTGATATCTTGTGATCTCTACTACTTCCGTGTAGAGAGGGTTGGGCAAAAAGATAGTGATGGCTGAATACTGAATACACTGTAAATGAACTTAATAACGTATTCTGTTACAATATAGAACAATTTTCTTGGTAAAACACAGGGGAAACTTTTTGCTTTTAATTCACACTGGTCTTTGCTGTTAATAGTTGGCAGTTTTCTTCAAGAACTTACTGTGTTAATATATTTCATGAACAATCTGCATATCATTTAAACAGGGTTCTGAAAATTCTCAACTTTTTTTTCACCCTCAAAACCTGCTTCAGTGTACTGCTGCTCCCACAATCCCCCAAGCAGGGGTCCAGTACAACACTGTTACTAAGCTTATCACTCGACAAAACATGATCACTACTGAGGAGTTTATTAGTTTGATCATCCCTCAAAAGAGCTTGGTAACACTGGCATTAATAGCTGGCTCATCACATAGGTTTATCAGCCTACTCAGGCCTTAGCATAACTATACATTGTTGTGCTATCATCTAGCATCAAATACCAGTTTCAGGAGGTTGTAGGTTTTCTCCTGTCTCGTTTCTACTGTATTCTTCATTACTCTCAGTTGCGAAAGGAATACACCAGCCAGACCAGGAAAACCCCCTTCTGATGAAGTCTCAAAAGCTGGGAGAAACCTGAACTACTACAGCTGCTTTGGGGTGGATTTTTGAGGGGGAGCTGTTTGTAATGAGTTTTCTAGCTTCCAAGCTACTGATAGCTGTCTGGCTTCATTTTGTGTTTGCGAGCTATCAAAACAAAACATATTTCAAACACGCAAAAGGCAGCACATGTGCATGCATGTCCAAGTGCATGCATGGGCCTATGCAACTTGTGTAGTTTGCTTGAAGGAAGAACCAGCACTGTCGGTAATACTTTACAAATGCTGGATTTTTTGACTTGAAACGCATTTGTTTGGGAAAATAACACATTTAACCATATATGTTGTGTAGGCATGATAAATAGGTGTAGTTAGACAAAGATGAGTGTTTTAAATGGAATGCTGCGACTTCAGCACTTACAGAGAGAGAGAGAGAGAGAGAGAGAGAGAGAGAGAGAGAAATAGAGATGTTGAGAAAAGTCTACAGCCTTTCTAAATGATAAATGCTCAAATATGGAAGAGAACTTTATTCTCTCAACATAACAGTTCAGATGGAAAAATAAATAATAATAAAAATAAACAAACAAAAAGAACAATTTCCCTATTATTAGGTTATGGGGAAGCCAGGGAAGATAAAGGTACAAAGTTGCAAAATATATTAATTTAGAGATGGAAACATGCAGAACTTTTTTAAAACAATAAACCAAAACTTATGCAGCAGCAGTTTTTTCCACAAAATGATGTCATTATGAAAAGCATGAAGTGCTCTTCATAATGACATAAGTCAGTTTGGTGGACACAAGCCAGGCAGCAAAAATCACTTTGTTTTTTACGCATTTTCAATTTATCACTTGCAATTTGTATAGAACATCAATGGAAACACAGCAGCAGTGAGTGTGAATTTACTGAAGATGAGCTAAGACAGAGCAGGAATTGAGTGTGCAGCTTCTGGACAGGCTGACAGAGGCACAGCTTTGTAAAAACATGTGGACACCAGATTTTTTGGTTGGAAGAATTCTCCT